CGAGGAGGCGCTCCTTGTCGCGCGCCCAGCTCTCGGCCTCCTCCAGCTCCTGCAGCAGCGCCCACAGGCTCCGCGAGGCCTCCAGCTCCGCGCGCCGCCGCGCCGCCTGCTCCTGCAGCTCCGCCAGACAGCCGTGCACGTGGTTCACGCGGTTGCAGATGACCTGCGGGTCGCAGGGCTGGTAGCCTGGACGGAGGAAGGGAGGATCCCGGGTTGGTCACCGGCGAGGGGGCACCCGGGAGAGACGGGTATGGGCTACCTGCCTTGTCCTTGGGTGGACTTCGTCAGGTGCCGGGCCCCGCGTCCCCTCCTCCAGGCGGCCTTCCCTGACACCCCAAGCCTGGAGCAGGATCCTGCTCTGGCCCCTCTCGGGCTTCTCTGCTTTCCCCATCCCAGCTCTGACTACTGTGGGCTGGCATTGCCTGTTCTGGCTCTCCCACTGGACTGGGAGCTCCGTGAGGGCAGGACCTGGGCGGTCTCGGTCACATCCTGCACAGGGTGGAGCCCAGGCCTGTAGCTGGTGAATAGAGTGGCTTATTCACCGAATGATGGAGGGATTCAGAGCATCACGAAATCTGTATATTTGAGTGTTAATTATGTCATATCAGAACTGGAGGCCAGGCGCGGTGGCCAGGCACTTGGGGAGGCTGAGGTGGAAGAACTGCTTGAGCCCAGGAGTTCAAGACTAGCCTGGGCCATACAGTGAGACCTCGTTTTTACAAAAAACATTAGTCAGGTATGGTGGCGCTCGCCTGTAGTCCTGGCTGCTCAGGAGGCTGAGGCAAAAGGATCGCCTGAGTCCAGAAGGTCAAGGGTGCAGTGAGCTGTGATCATACCACTGCACTCCAGCCTGGACAACAGAGATCCTGAATACTACTACTACTAATAATAATAATAGTAATAGAACTGGGCCAAATTACACTTTGCTTTTAAGTCACATTTCAAGGGTCTCCTTTTCCATCCTCTGTATCCTATTAATCCCAGGAATGACCTGAACTCTCTTTTTTCCTCAAATATTTCACCTTCCTCCTGGATCTCTAGTCTGTCAGTAGAAAATGGTAAAATCAATGTAATGGGTCACAGCCAGCATTTCTTTAGTGAAATATTAATAGAATGAATAGAAAATATCAGAATGCAACACACAAGGTCAGGGGAAGTATTATTTTATAAAACCTGTGTGTGTGTGTATGTGTATGTATGTGTGTGGGGGGGAGAGAGAAAACTCTGGGTCATGAGGTAAGTGTATTTCTTACTTGACAAAAAAACTGAGAGACACTAACCTAGGTCGAATGCAAGATTTCTCAACATTCACTGATGTTGACTCCAATCCCAAATCATCCAACTGAATAATAATTACAACCACAGCCACTTCCATGTATCCAGCCCTTACTCGGCACTATGCCATTTAATCCTCACAATTATCCTATGGGGCCAGTATCCTTATTAGCCCCATTTCACAAGTGAAAAAACTGAGGCTCAGAAAGAGAAGGACTGCCCCAGGATGGGTTAAGAAGTGGCCAATCAGGAGCTCACACTTTGGACCACTCATCAGGCAGTGCTGCTTCCCATCACCATAACAACACACACACCACACTAGCTCCTCTGCTGCATTCTCCTGCGGCTGGTTGTCACCAGAAGCCAAGATCTCTCAAGAAGAAGGCAGAGGGAGCCTTCTGACACTAACATCGCTAAGGCGAAGGAGAGAGTCCCAACCACCTCCCCTGGAGTTGTGATGTGATGAGAGGGGGCAGAACCAAGATGGGATGTCCACACCGGGGTATGGAAGGAAACTTCAGCACATGCTCTTAGGACGTGACCCAGGTCCATGAAGGAAAGATACTCCCCACTATCCTGCAAGCCAGACAATGCTTCCTTTTCTTTTCTTTTCTTTTTTTTTTTTTGAGTTGGAGTCTCACTCTGTTGCCTAGGCTGGAGTGCAGCGGCACACTCACGGCCACAGCACCCTCAACCTGCTGGACTCAGGTGATCCTTCCGCCTCAGCCTTCCAAGTTGCTGGAACTAGAGGCACACACCACCATGCCCAGCTAATTTCTTTTTGATTTATTGTGGAGATGAGGTCTCGCCAAGTTGCCCAGGCTGGTCTCGAATCCTGGGCTCAGGCAATGCTCTTGGCTCCACCTCCCAAAGTGCTGGGATTACAGGCGTGTGCCACCCCACCAGCCCCCCCCCTTTTTGAGTTGGGGTCTCACTCTGTCACTTAGGCTGGAATGCAGTAGTACTATCACGGCTCACCACAGCCTCAACTTCTTAGGCTCAGGTGATCCTTCCACCTCAGCCTCCCAAGCAGCTGGGACTACAAGCGTGCACCAACATGCCCAGCTCATTTTTAAAATGTTCTGTAGAGATGAGATCTTGCTATGTTGGACAGGTTGGTCTCCAAATCCTGGGCTCAAGCAATCCTTCCACCTCAGACTCCCAAAGGGCTGGGATTACAGCTGCGAGCCTTTCCTTTTCTAATAACATTCCAGAAACCCAAAGGGCCATGGCTCTGAATGAAGGAAGGAAGCATCCAAATGGAGAGAGACAGACTGGCCTCAAAACCCTCTTCTCGGCTCTGTGGCCTGGTCCTCGGTACCCTCATCAGTGAAAAAGAAAAAAATAGCCCTGAATGCCGCCAGCGCTCACAGCAAGCTGTGGTGTTCTGGTGAGCATGAACAATCTCACAGAATACCAGCACCAGACAGGGCCACAGAGTGGCCCTGTGCCCATAATGCAGTAGGACAAAACTCAGCACACTCATAATCATACCTGAGCACGGACAAAAGCAAGGTCACTGTGCAAACTGCAAACCACAGAAATGACTACACATCTCCATCGCCTGGCTAAGATGAATGGTAGCTGTCAATTACTGCAAAAGCCTCCCTCGGTTCCTCCTACCACCTAGAGAAAAATGATTATGATGCTCAGTCATCTAGTCACCCCCACATCCTGACAGCTTCTAATCCACAGCAGGACAGACCGCATCAAATCATCCTCCAGGCCGCACACAGTGGCTCAGGCCTGTATTCCCAGCATTTTGGGAGGCCACAGCAGGAGGATTCCTTGAATCCAAGAGTTTGAGGGCAACCTGGGCAACACAGCGAGATCTCATCTCTACAAAATAACCCAAAAAATTAGCCCAGGAGGTGGAGGCTGCAGTGAGCTGTCATTGTGCCACTGCACTCCAGCCTGAGGACAGAGTGAGAACCTGACTCAAAAAAAAAAAAAAATCATCCTCCAAACACAAGCCCAGATCCTTTACTAAGTCCCTTGTGATGCTTTTTTACTGAGATGTGTCATGGTGCCCCACGATGTATGCAAGGAGACCCCAAGCCCAACTTGGTTTGACCGCAGAGGGATTCCTGGTAGCCTTTGTTTTGAGGGCACTGACATCAGTGAAATGGAAACCTCATTAGAGCCAATCTCGATTTTGCCTCTCAGCATCCATGTCCCTGCTTCTGGTAAGGACGACTGCCCCCCCCTACTCTTTCTCAGACAGTGTCTAGAGTGGGCTGACCCCATTCCTGGCCCTGGGCAGACAAGTCATATAGATGTTATCAATCAGATCACTGCATGCCCTGGGGCCATGATGACTGGTTGAGCAATGGGGGTGGAGCCCACAGTGAGCCAATGAAAACTATCCTTGGACTTTTTGCCAGAATAGGTGGGGGAAAGGGGCCTATCTCTGCTCTGTCTGCCAAGATGCTGAGATGGAAACATAGGGCTGAATGAGCCCAGATTTACACCACAAAGGGAAGGACTGTCCGACAGTGACACCAACACAGAGACTAGAGAGAGAGAGAGAGATGGAGTCTTAAAAGCACCCCTGAACGGTTCCTGGATCCAGTCATGCCTGAAGTCCAACCCTGGATACTTTAGTTACATTTCAGCCAATACATTCTCCTGTTGTTTGTAAACCAATTCAGTTGAGTTTCTATCACTCGCTGCTGAACAGGCTCTGACTATATATTACTTTACATGGGTGCTTTTCACTGAGTATCAATGCAGCCTCAACCTGTTGGGCTCAGGTGATCCTTCCACCTCAGCCTTCTAAGTAGCTGGAACTACACGTGTGCACCACCATGCGTGGCTAATTTTTTGATTTATTGTAGAGATAAGGTCTCGCCAATTTGTCCAGTCTGGTCTCAAACCTGTGGGCTCAGGCAATTCTCTCATCTCAGTCCCCCAAAGTGCTGGGATTACAGGCATGAGCCACCACATCCAGCTTCTGTCTCTTTCTTTCTGTACCTGGATTTTCCTCCTGGCATTCATCTTTCTTGACACATAAAAAGTGCTCCCTAAATGTGAGTTATTACTGCAGAATCTCACAACCGAATGAAGTTGAGGGGTTCCACTTGCCACTCAGGGCACTAGTTCCCTTCATGATTTCCCTAATGGGGTGTGAGCTTAGCTCTGCTTAGATACCTCCAAGGATGGGGTGCTAACTCTTTTCTTCTGTCTCTCAGGAGCACCAGCCCTGATAGTCCCCATGCTAGCCCCAGCCCCAAGACTCACCCTGGAGCTGGGAGAAGCGCAGGGCAGCGGCATTGAGCGCCTCCACCCGCTCGCTCTGGGCTGCGATGTCACCTTCCAGCAGTCCATGCTTCTGCAGCAGGTCATCCGCCTCCACCAGGTGCTGCCCACACTCCCGGGACAGCAGCTGAGCCTGCAAGGGGGACAGCACTGAGCCCACCTCTGGCACTGCCCTGAGCCACCCACCTCTCCCCCATTGTTTGGGCCAGCCCTTGCTGCTCCACATGGTAGTGCTCGACTCTGACCTGTCCCAGTCTCCCTGCTCTGTCATCCCTTCTCTTTGCCTGTGTCTCTCCCTGTATGTTTATCTCTCATTGTGTCCCATTTCTGGACTGTTTCTGTCCTGGGGCCTCCCACCTCTCTACCTCCATCTCCCTCCTTCATCTCTCTCTGCCTCCATTTCTTTCTTTCTTTCTTTCTTTCTTTTTTGAGTTGGAGTCTCACTCTGTCGTCCAGACTGGAGTGCAGTGGCCGCTCCCGGCCACCGCAGCCTCGACCTGCCGGGCTCCGGCGATCCTTCCGCCTCAGCCTTCCAAGTAGCTGGAACTACAGATGCGCGCTACCATGCCCGGCTAATTTTTGATTTGTTGTAGAGGTGAGGTCTCGCCAAGTTGCCCAGGCGGGTCTCGAACCCGTGGGCCCAGGCAAGCCACTCACCTCGGCCTCCCAAAGTGCCGGGATTACAGGCTGAGTCACCGAGCCTGGCCTCTATCTCTTTCTTGTCTACACATCTGTCTCTGCCTCTATCTCCACCTCTACCCTGTCTCTTTCTTTCTGTGCCTGGATTTCCCTCCCAATATTCATCTTTCTTGTCACATCTCTTTATCGATCTAGCTAGCTCTGATAGGTCTGTCTCTCTCAGATTGATTCCATCTTCCTGTGTGTCTTTCTTTGCGGCCAGAGGTTTTCAAAGCCAACCCTGTGTCTTCTTTTCTAGCACGCCTTCTCTCTCTCTCTCTCTCTCTCCTTTTGTGTGTGTGTGTAGGAGTCTCACTCTGTCGCTGTCTGGAGTGCAGTAGCACACTCATGGCCACCGCAGCCTTGATCTGCTGGGCTCAGGTGATCCTTCCACCTCAGCCTTTCAAGTAGCTGGAACCATAGGCACACGCCACCACACCCAGCTAATTTCTATTTTATTTTATTTTATCATAGAGACAAGGTCTTGCCAAGTTGCCCAGGTTGGTCTCGAACTCTTCGGCTCAGGCAGTCTCTCACCCTGGCCTCCCAAAGTGCTGGGATTACAGGCATGAGCCACTGCGCCTAGCTCTCTCTCTCTTTCTCTGCCTCTGTCTCTCTGCCTCTCTCTTTCTTTCCCTCTCTTTATCTCTCTCTTTCTCTCTCTGATTTCTCTTTCTTTCTCTCAAACAGTCACTATCTTCCCTTGGACTAATCTCTCTGCCTCTATCCCTGGCTCTCTCCGTCTCTATCTCTGGGTCATTCTCTATTTCCCTGTTTGCCTCTTTCTCACTCTGTCTTGGTTGTTCTGCCTCTCTTGTTCCTCTGTATCTTTCTTTCACTCTCTTCCTCTCTTTGCTCTTTCTCTTTGTCACCCTGGACTTCTCTTTACCTCTTTCGGTCTCTCCCTTCCTTCTCTCCACCTCCACTCCTCGTTGCTTCTTTCAGCGTCTGCTGAAAGAACCCTCCCCCCACTCTTGGCATGCACTCCATCCCTGGCCCCCACCCTGTACCTGCATCTCTTCCATCCAGTCCACCATGTACACCATCTCCTGGAAGACTTTCTGCAGGGCCAGGTTCTGCTCGAGCCGTGTCCGCCGGGCACCTACAAGCCCGGTCAGCAGGGCCCACTGGCGCAGGACGCTGTCACGCTGGGCTGCCACCCGCCGGGCATCATAGTAGCCTTCGGCCGCCAAGGCCTGGGCCAGCTCCGCTACACCCTGCACCCGCTCCTCATAGGCTGCAATGTCTGCCTCGATGGCTTCGTGTTTCTTCATGGCTGCCTCCACTGCTGGCAGCTCATACCCAAAGTTGTCCTGAGGCAGCACAGGCCAGAAACTCACCCTTGCTGCCTTAGCAGTTCACCTGTTACCTTGACCCAAAGTAACCCTGGAAACTACCCACTCCCATTCTCCTAAGACCAGCTCTGCCCTCCCTAGTTACCCTGGAGACCAGCCCTAACTTATCCTGTTACCCTGGAGACCAGCCCCCTTCCCTGTTGCCTTGGAGACCAGGTTCATCCTCCCAGTTACCCTAGAGACCAGCCCTATCCTCCTATTACCCTGGAGACCAGTCCATTCCTCTCCTGTTACCCCAGAGACCAGTTCCACTCACTCCTATTACTCTGAAGACTAGCCAACGTTCCCAGTAACCCGGGAGACCAGTCCCACCCTCCTCAGTTAACTGGAAACCAGTCCCACCCTCCCTTTCTTAAATTTCTAACCCTAAACTTGTTACCCAGGAAACAAGTCCCATCCTTCCATTGTCCTGGAGACTGGAGACCAGGTCTGCCCTATTCTGTTACTTAGGAGACCAATTCTATCCTCCTGAGTTGCCCTGGACCCCAGATACAACCTCCCTTGTCACTTAAGAGTCTAGTTAAACAGTCCCCCTATTTCTGAAGAAACTACATCTGTCCTCTCTAGTTACTATGGAGACCAATCTCGCATCACCTTGGAGAGAAGGACTACCAACCACCTAGGAAACCAACTCTCCTTTCCCACCCCCATTTGCCACCTAGGAGGCTAACCCAATCCTTCCTGTTGCTTTGGAGATCCAGCCTCTCCCTCTGGTCCCACGGCCATCAGCCCCACCCTTCCTCCCTTTCTCTCTGCTCCCCAGCACCCCAGCCCTACGCCCTGTACCTGGGAAACCAGGCGCTGGTTCTCATTCAGCCAGCTCTCTCTCATAGCCACCTTGTGGTCAAACCTCTGGGCCAGTAGTTCCAGCTTCTCCTGCCGGATCAGCTCGGCCCGTAGAGCAGCCTCCCGCTCATGCTCTGCTTTCTCCAGCTCACCCCAAGCCTGGGGGAGGGAAGAGGAGGCAGTCAGACTCTAACAACATCCCACAGTGTAACGGCCCTGACTTCTGAGGCCACTCACAGCATTTCTGGCAGGGGTCCCCAGCCCCTGGGTCATGGATTGGTACCAGTCCGTGGCCTGTTAGGAACCTGGCCACACAGCAGGAGGTGAGCAGTGAGTGAAGCTTTATCTATATTTACAGCCACTCCCCATTGCTAGCATTACTTCCTGAGCTCTGCCTCTTATCACATCAGCAGCAGCAATAGATACTCATAGGAGTGCAAACCCTATTGTGAACTGTACATGCGAGGGATCTAGGTTGTGCGCTCCTTATGAGAATTGAATGCCTGATGACCTGAGGTGGAGCTGAGGTGGTGAGGCTAGCGCTGGGGAGTGGCTGCAAATACAGATGAACGTGAGCAGTGAGGTTTGACTGCACAGAAATCATAATAAACCCATTGCTTGCAGACTCATATCAAAACCCTATCACTGAGTGGCAAGTGAGTTGATGTGCTTCAATTGTACAGCTGCATCTGGTGTCAGACTTTAAGTCAGAAATCCTACACTTATTTTAATTCACATGTGGCCTACCCATTATGTGAATGTGGCTTCTTTTTTTTTAAATAATGAGTCTTATAATTATTTCATTATATATAATGAAGTGCACAATAAATGTTATGTGCTTGAATCATCTCAAAACCATCCTCCCCACCTCCCATCCATGGAAAAATTGTCTTCCACGAAACTGGTCTCTGATGCCAAAAAAGGTTGGGGACCGTTGATTTATGGCACTTTTATGTAAATCCGGGGGAAAAAAATGTTCCTTTTGGCCAGGTGCGGCGACTCACGCCTATAATCCCAGCACTTTGGGAGGCGGAGGTGAGAGGATTGCCTGAGCTCATGGGTTCGAGACCAACCTGGGCTACTTGGCAAGATCTCATCTCTACGATAAATCAAAAAAAGAAAAAAGTTCCTTCCTCATGACACTATTGCTGAAAAACAGAGCAAATATCAACCCATGATGTCTACAATGTGAATGGCTCCCATGAGCAGTGCGCCACCTGTACAACTCTACAGAGCATCCCTGATTCTCCCCTACATCCCCCAACCTCACCTTGTCGATATCCCAAATGCCGCAGCCCTCCCGAGGCACGAAGAGGCGCCGGTTGCAGGCCCGCAGCTTGCTCTGAATGCTGAAGAGCAGCACCTCCAGGTTGCCCTTCTCCTGAAACCTGAAGGGGCGTGAGCTTGGAGCTTGGCCTCCACGTTCCCCCTCCCCCTGCCACCTTCCCTCCCGAGCCGGGCCTCACTTCACAGGCTTCTCTAGCGTGCAGTAGGCCGTGAAGGCCTGAAGCTGCTGCTGCACCCCGCTGAGCGAGTTGGCGAATTTCTGGTTGCTGATGAGCCCCACAGTGCGGTGGATCCAGGCCAGCAGCTCAGCCGCCAGCTCCTCGTAGCGTTCGATGATCTTCCCCACCTCTATCACCTGGTCCAGGACCTGTCCCGGCAGAGGCAGATGGGGCCAGCCCCCTCCCACATCTGCCTGAGGTGCCTCCCAGGCCCCCGCCTGCCCCAAACCGGGGACCCTCCTACCTTCCCGATCCGCTTCCCCTCCACCGCCAGAGCCTTCATCTTGGAGAAGTAGTGGTAGAAAGAGACCACGTAGGTGATGATGGACTTCTCATCGGGAGCCTCCATGTTCACATCTGCGGAGGGAGGGGAGTGGGGGAGCATGATGTGGGCACTGACAGAGGGCACCTGGGTGGGGGGAGGGAGGACCCTCTCTTACTAGCTGTGTCACCTCGGGCAAGATAATTAACCTCGGGCCGGGTGTAGTGGCTCAAGCCTGTAATCCCAGCACTTTGGAAGGCCAAGGCAAGAAGATTGCCTAAGCCCAGGGGGTCGAGACCAGCCTGGGTAACTTGGCGAGACCTTGTCTCTATAATAAATCAAGAAATTAGCTGGGTGTGGTGGCATGTGCCTATAGTTCCAGCAACTTGGAAGGCTGAGGCAGAAGGATCGCCTGAGCTCAGCAGGTCAAGGTTGCTGGCTGTGAGCATGCCACTGCCCTCCAGCCTGGGCAACAGAGTAAGACTCCAACTAAAAAAAAAAAAAAAAAAAAAAAAAAGATAATTAACCATCTCTATCCCTCAGGTTTTGTACCTGCCAGATGGGAATCTACCCCATGGGATGAGATAGTGCCTGACACATAAAAACCACCACAGAGAAAGTATCTCTAATTGTTTCTTTCTTTCTTTTTTAAATTTTTTTATTTTTAAGAGCTAGGGTCTCGCTTTGTTGCCTAGGTTGGAGCCCAGTGGCACAACCACAGCCTACTGCAGCCTTGACCTCTTAAGCTCAAGCAATTCTCCTACCTCGTCTCTCAAGTAGCTAGGACTACAGGCACGTATCCCCATGCTTGACCAATTTTTTTTATTTTTTGTAGAGACAAGGTCTCACTGTGTTGCTTAGGCTTGTCTTGAACTCCTGACCTCAAGTGATCCTCCTGTCTTGGCTTCCTAATGTGTTGGGATTACAGGTATGAGTCATTGCGCCCGATCTATAATTGTTTCTTGAACACACTGTTTTAACCTCCACCTCAGGGTCTTTGCACACGTTGTCCTCACCCTCTTCCATGTGCCTGTCTCCCACTCATTCTTCAACACTCACCTGAGCTAAAATTTTCTCAGACAAGCCTCCACTTTCACTTTGTCTAGAGGTGGACTTATGCCATTCTCCCCTTAGCATCGTATTATTTTTTTCCCAGGTGTATTACCATTTGTAGTTAAATATTCCCTTTTGTGATTATGACATGATCTACAATTTGAGCCCCATGAGGACAAGGACCATGTCTGTCTTTTTTTTTTTTTTTTAAACCACCATTTCTGCCATGCCAGCGCACAGTAGGAATGCAATAAAAATTTAGTAAGAATGGCCAGGGTGGGTGGTGCACACCTGTAGCTGAGTAGGTGGGACTACAGGTGTGTACCACCACATGCAGCTAAGTCTTTTCATTTTCTTTTTGTTGTCCAGGCTGGCCTCGAACTCTTCGGCTCAAGTTATCCTCTTACGTTGGCCTCCCAAAGTGCTTGAATTACAGGCGTGAGTCTCCATGCCAGTCAATATCATTTTAATTTATTCACTGAGTGCATAACATTATACTTGGCCCTTATTCTTCATGACCTTGTGAAACTGACATCCATAGATACCAACCGTGTGCCAGGCACTAAGCACAGGACACAGCTAGAAGAGGCAGGGTAGAGAACTGACTGAGACCACGAATTCTGGAGTCATAAAGACCTGCTGACTGGTATTCAGCATGACACCGGGCAAGTGACATCATATCCCTGAGCCTTCATTCCCATCCCTTCAAAAGAGGGCTGATAAATTCTACCCAACCAGGTCAGTGTGAAGATGGAAGGAAGCCATTCTGATGAGATTCCCAGCCATGTGCTTGGCACATAGTAGACGCTCAGAAGGAGGAGGCAGCTTTTTATTCCGGGGACAGGAAAGTGGTGTTGGGGGTGATCACTGACTAAGGATGAGGCTGAAGCCAGGGCTGGGGATGGGGAGAGACCAAAAAGGAGAGGCAAGCCGAGGATGAGGAGAGCATTGTGGGGAAGAATGGGGGGAAGAGGGGCTGGTGTGAAACGAGGCTATAAATGGATTAAGGATGGGGGTGGGAGTGGATCTTGAGTTGAAGGTGTGGGATGGGGATATGGCTAAAGATGAGGTTGGCATTAGGGTTGAGATGGGGGCTGGGCGTGGTGGTTCATGCCTCTAATCCCAGCACTTTGGGAAGTTGAGGTGGGGGGATCCGTTGAGCCCGGGAGTTGGAGACCAATCTGGGCAACATAGTGAGACCTCATCTCTACAAAAAAAAAATTTTTTTTTAATTAGCTGGGTGTGATGGCACATGCCTGTAGTCCCAGCTATTCGGGAGGCTGAGGCAGGAGGACTGCCTCAGTTCAGGAGATCGAGGCTGTGGTGAGCTGTGATTGTGCCATGGCATTCCAGCCTGGGAGCCAGAGTAAGACCCCGACTCAAAAATAAGCGGGAATAGCTGGGCTCGGTGGCTCAGCCTGTAATCCCACGCCTTTGGGAGGCTGAGGTGAGTGGAATGCCTGAGCCTGCGGGTTCGAGACCCACCTGGGCAACTTGGCGAGACCTCATCTCTACAATAAATCAAAAAATCAGCCAGGCGTGGTAGCGCGCCTGTAGTTCCAGCTACTTGGAAGGTTGAGGCGGAAGGATCGCCGGAGCCCGGCAGGTCGAGGCTGCGGTGGCCGAGAGCGGCCACTGCACTCCAGTCTGGGTGACAGAGTGAGACTCCAACTTAAAAAAAAAAAAAGCGGGAAGGAATGGGGATGGGGTTGGAGATTGGGTTTGAGGCTGGGGTTGCGGTCAGGAAGAGGTGGTTGCTTAGGGGGCAGGATGGTTGAAGATGGGGTTGGGGAGGGAGCTGAGGATGAGGAGGAAATTGGAGATGGGAAAAGGAGGAGTCACCCTGGGGTGGAAATGGGGGTGGGGTTGGGTTGGGGATGGGACAGGAAGAGTGTGGGGAGGGGAAGTGGAAGAGAATGGAGGTGAGGAAGGGGGAGAGGGAGCTACGATTTGGAATGACCTTGGGACTTGGGATGGTGCTGGGGTGGGCTGCCGCTGAGTCTGAGGCAGCACTGGGGTTGGGAGTCCCCCCCAGAGGAAGTCTGGGCTCCGGGCAAGGGCCATGCAGGGCTCACCTTCAGGGTCCAGCAGTCGCGCCAGCCCCAGGTGCTGCTCCGCCGTGCGGAAGGCCCTCTGCAGGTTGTAGTTGGCATTGGACTTGGTGAGTTTGCTGAAGTCCACGAGATCTGGCCTGGGCAGGGGCACAGAGCGGGCAGGCAGCAGGCAAGCTCCAGAGCCGGCGGCAAGTGAGTGAAAAGCCACCCTCATCTGAGCTCCCCCACCCAGGGCAAGGGGCAGAAGGGCACAGCCCAGCCAGGGGGCAAGGTGTGTGCTGTGCGGTAGGCACCTGTGGTATGAGCGTGACAGACCCAGGCTCATCTCTGTGGGTTCCTAGGCATGTGTGTGCATGTGCATTTGTCACTGGGCTCATGTACATTGGCCTATATACAGCCAGGTCAGCTTGCAGGTACTCAAAGAAATAAGGCCACATGGTATCTGCCTGTGTGTCTCTGCAAGACTATCTGACAATACGTGTCGTGTCACGTGTGTACAGCCCTTATATGTGTGAGGACACATGTACATCTGAGGTACACGGGTCTCCTTGGAGGTGTTTGTCCACAGTGTTATGTAGTGGCTAGAAGTGTGAGGTGTGAGGCCAACCCATCAAGCTCAAGCTCCAGCTTGGTCACATGCCGGCAGTGTCACTCTGGGTGAGCCACTTCATTTCTCTGTGCCTTGGTTTCCCCACTTGTAAAATGAGGATACTAATAGCATCTGCTTCGTAGATGGACTTGATATATTGAACAGACACACTGAATATTAAATGACCTGGGGCTGGGCATGGTGGCTCACAATTGTCATCTCAGCACTTTGGGAGGCTGAAGTGGGAAGACTGCTTGAGCCCAGGAGTTCGAGACCAGCCTGGGCAACATAGCTCATCTCTACAAAAATAAAAATAAAATAATTATGGCTGGGCACAGTGGCTCATGCCTATAATCCCGGCACTTTGGGTGGCTAAGGTGAGAGGATTGCCTGAGCACATACATGGGTTTGAGACCAGCCTGGGCAACTTGGCGAGACCTCATCTCTACAGTAAATCAAAAAATTAGCCGGGCATGGTGGCACGTGCCTGTAGTTCCAGCTACTTGGAAGGCTGAGATTGAAGGATCACCTGAGTTCAGCAGGTCAAGGCTGTAGTGGCTATGAGCATGCCACTGCACTCCAGTCTGGGCAAAATAGTGAGACTCCAACTCAAAAAAATAAAATAAAAATAATTAGCTAGGTGTGGTAACACACGCCTGTAGTCCCAGCTACTCAGGAGGCTGAGGTGGAAGGATCACATAAGCCCAGGAGGTTGAGGCTGTAGTGAGCTCTGATCATGCCACTACACTCCAGCCTGGGCAACAGAGTGAGACCCCCAACTCAAAAAATAAAAATAAATAAATGAATTGGTAGGAAGCACTTAGAACAATGGCTTGCACATAGAAAACACTCAGTGTCACATAGTATTAGCATGACTGTGGTTAGAGCTTGTGAATTTCTGTTTGTGGTTGTAGGTTTCAGTCTCCCCATGTGTGTACAAGTGTGTGTAGGTTTGACAGGCAAGGGTTGTGAGTGAATATGTGTACACAGTAGACAAAGTTGAATCTGGCTTCTGCTATATCACAGCAAGTCCCTCCCAGCCTCTGGGCCTCAGTTTCCCCAGTCTGCCACATGGATGATCATGACGTGAGTGTAATTTGTATGCATGCCCAGTCCTCAGCCATTTCACACCGGGCTGCGGTGTGAGTAGCCAAATGTGCAGGGAGCCAGGAAGGGAGTTCACCTTGAGGAAGGATTTTCTGATAGGAGGAAGTGCTTTGCACACCCCAGAGTGACAGTCCACAGGGGAGTGGGACATCTAAGCAGCAAGTGCAGGCTGTGTATGTGCCTGGGTATCTACATGTGTGTTTACACATCTGTGTGAGGCCACGTGTGTCCGTGTGTGCACAGGGTATGTGACCTGGACAGGAATCTGTGCGGGTGTGTGTCCCTGTGTGTCACTGTACAGGGCATGCGTATGGAGGGAAATGAATGTGTGTGTGTGTGTAGGGGTGAAGGGAGGGGTCCCTGTGTCTGTGTGTGTCATCTATACACACACACGTATTAGTGTGTAGCTGCACGGACATATGGCAGGGTGCAGGGCAGGGGTGTGCTGCCCCAGGCTGACGGATACCTGTGCCGGTGAATGAGGGCATTGAAAGCCAAGCCGTCCCGCCAGCTGGTGGTGAAATTCTGGATGTTCACCTCGGGGTAGCTGTCAGGATGAAAGAGAGAAACAGGCAGAGATGGAGAGTCAAGAGGGAAAAGGGAGACAGAATGGTAGGGAAGGAAGGAGGTGGGGGAGGACACAGGAAGATGGACGGATGGTTGGGTGGGTAGTTAGGTAGACAAGAGAGACAGGCGCATGAGGAGAGAGAAGGAGAGCCAGGGAGATGAGAGAGAGAAAGAGAAAGGAGAGGAGAGAAAAAGAGTGTCAAAGGGAAGAGAGGAGGGAAGGAGAGAGACAGAGAAAGCAAGACATAGAGAAGGAGAGAGAGACAGGAGAGACGAAGAAGGAGGGAGAGGGACAGAAGGAGAGACAGGGACAAGGAAAAGCAGACAGAGATAAAGACAGACACATGGAGAAACAGACGGCTTTGTAAGACAGACAGGCAGCCCAGAAGCGTGAGGCAGAGAAGCCCACCTCCATCCCAAACTTGCTCCCTCCCTCCTTCCTCTCACAGCATGATCCCCAGAGGGCGCTTCAGTTTAAGGCCATGCCAGACAAAGAGATGGGGACCCAAGGACACATGCCCAATAGATCCTGTACCCCACCTCCACCATCTCAACCACATGGAAGGTACCCAGGACTTTGACCTTTCCTGCCCAAGCTGCCAGACCCTGGTGTGTACCCTGCCAGGCAGAGGGAGGGCGCTCACAGGCAGGGAGGGGGTGGCCAGAGCTTGGACATAGAGCTGGGGCGGTCCATATATATGCCTGTGAAATCTTTAGAAGTACAGGATGAAATGGGACAGACAGTAGAGAGAAGGGAGCAGACTGGAGACAGTCTACCCCTTTCTAGTATTGATCTCTGAGGAGTCTGAGAGTTCTAAATTTGAACTTGGCCTTCCAGTTTGTTAGGAAGGTTTATTTGTCAAGGTCAAAAAAGTCTACATATTTTATTTACCAGTTCATTAGCTTCAGATGCAATTTTTTTTTCTGAGTCAGGGTCTCACTCTGTCACCCAGGCTGAAATGCAGTAGCACAACCAAGCTCACCATAGCCTCAACCTCCTGGGCTCAGGCAATCCTCCTACCTTGGCCTCCCCAAATGCTGGAATTATAGGCGTGAGCCTCCACATCTGGCCTCAGATGAAACTTTTTAACACTGAGGACATGGGCTGCCCCTTAAGCTGTTATCCCAGAAGGAACCCCAGAGTTAGAGGTCTGCCAGGAAGGAAGGGGTAGGGCTTACCCAGCTGTCTTCATCTGACACCATAAGAGTAAAGCATCCTTGGCTGACCGTGTTTCTCTGTTGTCCTCAGTCTCAATTTTGATGACTTGAATCTGTGAGGATATCACAAAAAGGCTACTGGGACCTGGAGAGCTTGAGGTTGGGAGACCCTCACCCCATCCTGCAACCGGGGATGGTGGCAGGTGACAGAGAGATAAGGAGGACGCTTCAGCCCTGGGTGGGGTTCAGGAGCATGAGGACAAGTTCTGGAGTGGCCAGGACATCTGCAAGTGGGAGAGGCAGCTGTGGATTCAGGCCTCAGTTTCTAGGGAAGCCTAAACACTGGGCATCTGGGCCACATTCCTGATGTAAGCCAACACCCTCTTCCACCTAAGCTAGTGCAGTGGTCTTGATGCTGACCTCCCTGCTCCTGCACCCACAGTCAGTTCCCCACGTGGCAAAGAGAGGAGAGAAGGACCCTGTGAACACTCAGATCAGATCTCTGCTTCCTCTCCTCAGCACCCTCCCTGGTTGTTTCACTTGGAGTAAAAGCAAAAGTCCTCATGTTTCTCCTCAGTGAATCTACGACCTCATCTTCAATAGCTCACTCCACTATTGGCCTTTTTACTAAGTCACCAGCCTCCTCCCACCCATTGCCTTCGCACTGGCTGTTCCCTCTGCCTGGAACATCCATCCTTCCCCCAGTTCCCCACACGGGGCTCCACCCCTCCTTCAGGGATTTGTTGTTGTTTTTTTGTTGTTGCTGTTGTTGTTGTTTTGAGTCAGGGGTGTCACTCTGTCATCCAGGCTGGAGTGCAGTGGCACAATCTCAGCTCACCGCAGTCTCGGCTTCCTGGGCTCAGGTGATCCATTTCAGCATCCTGAGTAGCAGGTAGCTGGGACTACAGGTGTGTGTCACCGTACCTGGCTAATTTTTTATATTATTTATTTATTTATTTATTTATTTATTTTAGGGATGGGGTCTCGTTATATTGCCCCAAATGACCTCACACTCCTGGGCTCGAGCATTCCTCCCACCTCAGCCTCCCAAATTGCTGGGATTACAGGTATGAGTCACCATGGCCAGCCCCTCAGGTCTTTACTCAAATGTCACCTTCTCAGTGAGGCCTTTGCTGACCACTTGGTTTTAAATCGCTGACACACCCAAACTGCATATCCCCCTTCCTGGCTTTGTTATCCCCTTAGCATTTATCATCACCTACACATTTCATTTAGTCTTCAGGTTTACTGTTTCCCCAACTAAAATGTAAATGTTCCAGGATTTCAGGGACATTTGTCTGTTTTGCTCACTGCTGTACCCCACTTAGTAGTGTTCAAATACGTTCTGAAAGGCCCAGAATCTAGAATGCGTTTTAGTTCCTCAAGTGGGTATTTGAGAGACTTGAGTCCTTGACGCAAGAGCTGGCTTTGGCATGTGGGTTCCAAGGAAGAGAACCAAGACCCTTCCAAGGGGGTCCCACCCCCCCTGCAGGGCTCCAGTCACCAGCAGTGACCCTCACCCCCAAAGTGTCATTCCTTAATTCTGTACTGACAACATTCATACCTGTCTCCAGCCATTCCTTGTCCCCTAAGTCTATCCCTCAGATTCACTGGATTTCTAGATGGCCCTCTACCCAATGTCCTGAACCCACAACCACCATGTCTCTGCTAGCCTCAGGATCTTCCCCAAACCTCTCCTTCTCCCTACCCCTGTCTCAGGGTGGCCCCACCATGTCCTGGTTCCCAGGCCACAGCTCTGACTCTCCTCTTGGCCACCTCCTTCCCCTACTTCCGTAAGGCCGGTCTCTTCCACCTTCTGACTGTCTTCCCACTGCTCCCTTATTCACCTCCCCACATTCCTACGGGCTTGCCCCTGGGCTCTAGGCTCCCAATTTTGGTGACCACCTCCAATCCAAAGGAATCTTTCAAAATCTGGTTATGCACCACCCTTGATAAAACTTTCCAATCTCTCCCCATCTCAGACAGAATAAAATCCAAACTGCTCATCACAAATCACCTAAGTCCTGCCAACCCCTCTGCCTCGCCTCCTCCCTATCTCCCCCTCGCCTCCCCTCCTCCAGCCATCTACTCTTTCTTCTGTACTTCCAACACGCCTACCTCATTTCTGCCTCAGGGCCTTTGTATCTTCTGTGTCCTCTGAATGGAATGCTTTCTCCCTTAATCTTTGTATGTCATTCAGTCATCAGCTTCTCAGGGACCCCTTTTCTAACCACCACGTCTAAAATCTCAACACCACCAGCATGATACCCCATGTCCCTTTTACTGCTTTATCATAATCTGCTCTTTTCTGCACAGGTTTTCTTTTTTTTTTAAGATTGCCCATATAATTTTTATTTTCAATCTCAGGGTAGTTATGTAGAAGTTCTGCTGATGTGGTCTCCAGCCACTGGCACTCTCAAATGCAAGTCCAGTCAGAGGGTTAGCAGCTACTTAGCTGGGTATTCACAGACACCTGGGCAGAGTCCCTGACTCCACGTCTATGGGGCATCCATGAGATCTGCACAGGTTTTGAAACTTCTTCTCTGCCTAGAGCTGGTGCTTTTTCCATACATATCTTATTTACATATGTATGTATTTGTTTGTTATCTGTCTTGCATGCCACAATGTAAGCTCCATAAAGGCAGCAAATTTGTCCATTTGTTTCTGTACTTGAGCAAAGGTGTCTCGCTTCTCATTCTAGATCCAATACCCAGCTATGTGTGACTTTAGACATATTACTCCACCTATCTGGGCTTTGGATTCCTTATTGATAAAATGGGATTAATAAACATTATCTAATTTAAGCTGTGGGTATTAAATGTCAAGTGCTCAGAACAGTGCTTGGAACAGAGTAAACAATATATAAATGATAATTACAGTGATGGTGGTGTTCATGACGATTATTTTTATCATTATTTTAATTGCCACCACCTGGAACAGAGTTTTTTTTGTTTTTTTTTTTTTTTTTGAGTCAGAGTCTCACTCTGTCGCCCAGACTGGAGTGCAGTGGCCGCTTCCGGCCACTGCAGCCTTGACCTGCTGGGCTCCGGCGATCCTTCCGCCTCAGCCTTCCGAGTAGCCGGAATTACAGGCACGCGCTACCACGCCCGGCTGATTTTTGGTTTATTGTAGAGATGAGGTTTCGCCAAGATGCCCAGGCGGGTCTCGAACCCGCAAGCTCAGGCACCTCGGCCTCCCAAAGCGCGGGATTACAGGCTGAGCCACCGAGCCCGGTCTGGAACAGAGTTCTTGGAGCATATTAGGGATTCTTTTTTGGAATGAATGAATGAATGAACGAATGGGTGAGGGACGCCTTCCTAGGGCCCACTGTCATGGGTGGGCTGGATCACCTGGAAGCGCAGGATAATGGTCCAGACCAGCCCCAGCGTCAGCCGGTGGTTTCCATCCACGATGTCATGCGATCCCACGTTCTCCAGGTGCACGCGCTGCTCCTTCAGGAACTGCAGGGCCTTGTCCACGTTCTCCAGCGAGTGGATTCGCATGCGGCCGCGCGTGGGCCTCGGCTAGGGCGGCAGGGGCGTTGGGGTCTGGACGGGAGCACGGCGCCCTCGGCCCCGCCCCTTCCAAAGTAGCCCGCCCCTCCCATAGCCATGCCCCCAGTGTCCAGTATCAGGCTGCCCTCCAGTTTTATTCAAGACCCAGGAAGCAATCCTTCTAAAGAAGCCCCGCCCCTTCTCATAGCCAGACCCTTTCAAGGATCGCATCCCTTGCTCAAGTCCCCGGCTTGGCCCCTTCCACGGACGCTCCACCTCCACCCTGATGACCACACCTCTCACCGTGAAGCCCGGTCCTTCTGCTCTGGAGCCACAGGGCTGCTCCTACCACTGGATCTCTCCTTCAGCCAGCCAGTATTTTGCTAAGCCCATGGCCACACCCCTCACCGCCTCGTCGGCCTAGTCACGCCCATTCCCACCAAGCCCCGCCCTGCCCTGGTTTATAGCTCGATTCCTGCCCATGGCGTTTGTTTCTATTCTGTAGCCATGCCCCTCGCCGCTCGCTGAGCTCCAGGCCCGTCCTTTAACAAACCATTCCCCATGGAAACCCCACTCTTTGAGAAGAAACCCCAGCCAAGACCAGAAACACACCCCCACCCCATACAGCAAGCCATAACCCGACACCGTCTGCATCCCCAGGCCCCCACGATCTAGGCCTCATCCCACCAACGAACACTGGCGCGTAGTCTCGAACCCCACGCGACCATCCACTGACCCCCCTAACAGAGTTCTGTCCTCTTACAGCCATGCCCCTTGCTACCCGATAACCCAGGCCCATCCCTTCCAAAAAGGCTCCTCCCTTCTCCGGTGCCCCCGCCCCTTCCCGTGGAGCCGCGCCCCTTCCAACAAAGTCCTTCCTCCGAGTTGCAGCCAGGGGGTTCAACAAAATTCCGCTTCAGATCCCAATCACGCACCCAGGCTCCTCACAACCAAGCTCCACCCCTGTGCCATAGCCCTGCCCACGCGAGGAAAGGGGCCCCTGTCCCGCAGGGCCCTTCTAGGACACCACCCGTCGATTACCAGGCCTCCGCTTGGGGTCCAGCCATCCAGAGAAGCCCAATCCCAGTCCAAGAGCCCTCCCTGGGCCACCCCCGTGCCCCGCCCCTCGGGCCCCCTCACCAGCTGCTCCCCAGACAGCACTTCCAGGAGCCTTGTGAGCACGAATCCGTCCCGGAGGTCTACATAGAGGTCTCCGATGTGGCAGCCCACGCGGGCGAGGTGCGAGTTCACCCACTTGGTGAAGGTCTTCTTCTGCACGGCCTCCCGCTCATCTGGAGAACAGGCCCGAATGAGCCCCCAGGACCCTTCCCGCTTCGCTCCAGCCCTCCTCCAGCCGAACTCTGTTCAGGTCCAGCTCTCTGCAAGAATCAAGCCTTAGCACAGGCGGCTCCTCCTGTCTGGGACTCCTTCCCCTACACTCTGCTGTCCTTCCAAATTTTCCTGAGATATCGCTTCCACAGGAAGCCTTCCCTGCTTGCTATCCCTGTTGGCTTTTAACATCCATTCAATAAATATTTGAGTGCCCACTCAGTGCCTGGCACTGTTCTAGGCTCTGTGAATACAGACCAGGCCCTTTCCCTCACAGAGCTCAGTTTAGTGGGGGCACAGATAACACACGAGTGAACCATGGGAATCATCGATAATTTAGGGGGGAGAGAGACAGAATATATCTGGCTGTTGTGTGAAGAGTGGATCAGAGAAGACAAAAATGGCAGCCAGGAGCTCAGGGAGGAGACTGGGGAAGGGACCCAGGAGGGAGAGGATGGGACTAGACCAGGGCAGAGCTGTGGGAATGCGAGGAGGGGGCTTATGGGAGGGTTATTTATTTATTTATATTCTGAGTCAGGGTCTCACTCTGTCATCCAGGCTGGAGTGTAGTGGCATGATCATGGCTCACCTCAGCCTCCACCACCCAGGCTCAGGCGATCCTTCCACCTCAGCCTCCCAAGTAGCTGGGACTACAGGCATGCACCACCACACCCAGCTATTTCTTATTTTTTGTAAAGACAAGGTCTCACTTTGTTGCCTGGCCTGGTCTCGAACTCCCGGGCTCAAGCGATCCTTTCACCTCGCCCTCCTAAAGTGCTGGAATTGTGTGAGCCACCTCGCCCAGCCAGGAGAGTTATTTAGAGATGAACAGAAAGATGGCAGCAGACAGGCTATGGGACATTAAGAAGTAAAGGAATTTGCTAGACTGAGCACTCCTGAGATGTCTCCTCCATCTCTTCCTTCAAGAAACTGGTCTGGGCAAATGGCTGCCCAGGTGGAGGTTACATTTCCCACTGCCCTAAAGGTGAGAACCACGTGACTCCATTCTCTCCAATGAAGCGGGAGTAGAAGATTATGTGTAACTTCTGCCTCACTTTCATACAAAGAAATTGTTCAGGACCTCTTTATCTTTTTTTTTTTTTTTTTTTTTTGAGTAGGTATCTCACTCTGTCACCCAGGCTGGAGTGCAGTGGCACGCTCATGGCCACCGTAGCCTCGACTTGCTGGGTTCAGGCAATCCCTCAACCTCAGCCTTCCAAGTAGCTGGAACTATAGGTACATGCCACCACACTCGGCTAATTTTTTGATTTATCATAGAGACGAGGTCTCGCCAAGTTACCCAGGTTGGTCTCGAACCTCTGGGCTCAGGTATCTTTTTAAAAAATAACAGCTTTACAGCCGGGCTCGGTGGCTCAGCCTGTAATCCCGCGCCTTTGGGAGGCTGAGGTGAGTGGATTGCCTGAGCCCGCGGGTTTGAGACCTGCCTGGGCAGAGAGATCTCATCTCTACAATAAATCAAAAAATTAGCCGGGGGTGGTAGCGCGCACCTGTAATTCTGGCTACTCGGAAGGCTGAGGTGGAAGGACCGCCGGAGCCCAGCGGGTCGAGGCTACGGTGGCCGGGAGCGGCCACCGCACTCCAGTCTGGGTGACCGAGTGAGACTCCAACTCAAAAAAAATAAATAAATTGTCAGTTCAGTGGTTTTTAGTATATTCACAGAGTGGTGCAGCCATCACCACTATCTAACATAAAAACATTTTTATCACCCCAAAAAGAAACCTCATATCCATTGGCAATCACTCTCCATTTCCCTTTCCCTATCCCCTAGCAACCACTAATCTACTTTTTTTTCACTATGGATTTGCCTATTCTGGACATTTCATATAAATAGAATCATACAATACAAGGCCTCTCATGTGTCTGGTTTATTTCACCTAGCATAATGTTTTCAAGAATTATCCATGTTATAGCAGCTACCAGTATTCTATCCCTTTTTATGGCCAAGTCACATTGCATCTTATGAGTATGACACATTTACTTATCCATTCTCCAACTGATGGGCATTTGGGTAGTCCCCATTTTTTAGTGATTATGAATAAGGTTGCTATGAATATTTGGGTACAAGTTTTTGTGTGGACATATGTTTTCAATGATCTAGCTTATACCTAGGAGAAGAATTTCCAGGGCATATAGTAACTCCATGTTTAATTTTTAAGAAATTGCCAGCTGGGCTTAGTGGCTCAGCCTGTAATCCCAGCACTTTGGGAGGCTGAGGTGAGTGGATTGCCTGAGCCCGCGGGTTCGAGACCCGCCTGGGCAACTTGGTGAGACCGCATCTCTACAATAAAATCAAATATTAGCTGGGCGTGGTAGCATGCGCCTGTAGTTCCACCTACTTGGAAGGCTGAGGTGGAAGGATCGCCAGAGCCCAGCAGGTCGAAGCTGCAGTGGCCGGAAGCGGCCACTGCACTCCAGTCTGGGCGACAGAGTGAGACTCCAACTCAAAAAAAAAAAAAATTGCCAAATTGTTTTCCGAAATAGCTATACCACTTTACATTCCCATCAGCAATGTACAAAGTTCCCAGTTCCATATCCCAGCCAACTTTTGCTCTTTTCCCTTTTTTCTTTTTTTTTTTTTTTGAGTTGGAATCTCACTCTGTTGCTGAGGTTAGAGTGCAGTGGCCACCCCCAGCGTCGACCTATTGCGCTCAGGGGATCCTTGCATCTTAGCCTTCCAAGTAGCCAGAAAGACACGCACTACCATGCCCAGTTATTTTATTTTATTTTTTTTACTTTGTAGAGATGAGGTCTCACCAAGTTGCCCGAGCTGTTCTCAAACCCATAGACTCAGGCAATCCCCTTGCCTCAGCCTCCCAAAGTGCTGGGATTACAGGCTTGAGTCACCATGCTTGGCCTATTTCCCCCTTTTTTTAGATTACAGCCATCCTAGTAGGTGTGAGGTAGTATCTCATTGTGGTTTTGACTTGTAATCCCCTAACAACTAATGATGTTGAGCATTTTTTCATGTTCTTTTTTTTTTGAGTTGGAGTCTCACTCCGTCACCCAGACTGGAGTGCAGTGGCCGCTCCCGGCTACCGCAGCCTCAACCTGCTGGGCTCCGGCGATCCTTCCGCCTCATCCTTCCGAGTAGCCGGAATCACAGTCTTGCGCTACCACACCCGGCTGATTTTTTGATTTATTGTAGAGATGAGGTCTCGCTGCCCAGGCGGGTCTTGAACCCGCGGGCTCAGGCAATCCACTCACCTCAGCCTCCCAAAGGCGCGGGATTACAGGCTGAGCCACCGAGCCTGGCTTCTTTTCATGTTCTTTTTGGCCTTTGTATATCTTTGGAGAAATGTCTATCCAAATCTTTTTGCCACTTTTTTTTTTTTTGAGTTGGGGTCTCACTCTGTTGCCCAGGCTGGAGTGCAACAGTACAATCACAGCTCACCACAGCCTCAAACTCCTGGGCTCAAGCAATCCTCTTGCCTCAGTCTCCCAAGTAGCGGGGACCACACATGTGTGCTATCATGCCTGGCTAATTTGTTTTATTTTTTTATACAAAGTCTCACTATGCTGCCTGGGCTGATCTCAAACTCCTGGGCTCACACAATCCTCCCGCCTTGGCCTCCTCCCCAAGTGCTGGGAATACATGCATGAGCCACCATGCCAGGCTAAGTCACTGTATTTTTAAGACTTTGTTATCAGTAGCTTAGCCTGTACAGTTACTGTTAGAATTTCATTACTAAATAATAGCAGTCATATTATTAAGTTTCCTATTAATGCAGAAATAAAGATGTGTATTTCCAGCCTATTTCCCTTTCGATCATTTGAAATCTCTTGGTAATTTCCTTTATCATAAAATATACCTTATATAATACTATGAAATGTTGTATTTTACTCTGGCAGTAGAAAAGATACTTTGATCTCTATATGCAAGTTGCATCTTGAATGTTGAACTCTAACTGGAAAGCAAACATGCAAATGTTAATAGCAAATCCAAATGAAATACTTTGTTTAATGGTGGGTTTTGTGCTGTTTAGACAGGATGGGACCTGTATGAAAACATGGCCATCACCATACATGAGAAAATGATAACAGAAAAGATTTTGAATTGGGTATCTGTTCCTCTGCCTGCTAACGGCCAATGCGCACGACAAACAGCACATTTTGATTAATATTAAAGTCAAAGTGGAACTTCAGGGCATCCCTAGAGTGCTACCAGAATGAGGACAACTGGATTCTGTCTTGCCTCTACCAATGACCAGTCGTGTGACTTCTTGAGATCACCTTTCCTCTCTGGGTCTCCGTTTTCCCATTTGCAAAAAGAGGTCAAGGTTAAAATGAGCTAGGATCACACTACCAGACTTCAACCTGGGCAACAGAGTGAGACCCTGTTTCAAAAATAAAGTGGGGGTATTGAACTAGATTTGGCTTGCTTTCTTTTTTTTTTTTTTTTTTT